TGTGTGTGTGTGTGTGTGTGTGTGTGTGTGTGTGTGTGTGTGTGTGTGTGTGTGTGTTGCCCGCAGGGACCGGGAGGACACGGGTGCTCTGCTGTCGGACCCTCTGCTGTATCCTCGTGTCTCCATTCTGACCAACGGGACCCTCAAGCTGTCCGACGTCAGCCACAACGACAGCGGCGAGTACATCTGCTCCGTACAAAACACCAACATCTCCATCACGGCCAAGCTGGACGTCTTCCGTGAGTCACACACATAAAAGCGAAGCTTCATATAAATCTTGCTCCTCTCTGATGGAGCCTGGAATTATTTGCGCTTTATAAAAATCTCTGCTTGCACCTGTGACTGTGTCACTGTGATATGAACCATTTATGATGCAATCATTTTGTTGTAAGCGTTTACAGAAAAAGTCACTAACAAGTGTCACTAATTCCTCGGTCCTGGGTTTGCTGCATTCCTTCAGGTCCAAGTGAGATACTGACGCCCCCCCAGGCTGTTCGCGTTGTCCAGGGAAAGAGCGCTTTCCTGGACTGTGACGTCGACACCGATCCTCGGCTGAGGGATTACCAGGTTGTCTGGAAGAAAGCGAATCGGAAACTAGAAGAGACATCAGTAGATGACAAGTAAAAACACACACACACAAAGCACATTTATATTTTAGCTTCTGTCCTAAAAGGAAAAGAAAGAAAAAAACCTAAAGATCTTTTATTTGGGAGGAAACGGAAGAAATCTCTGGAAGAACAGAGGACTGGTTTCCGAGCTGGAAATTTCTCTTTCTGAGAGCAGAAATCTAAAGACCTTCATGCTGAATGTACTTATTTATGTGATCCCCAAAATGACACACACACAAATTTCCTAATAATTAAATAATCCCAGTGACTCATTTTCATCTTAATTTGGGAAAAATAAATAACTGAGTCATATCATCAGCTGCTTGTTCAGAGGATTGACCTTCAGAACAGGTCAGATATGTCTGACCACAAGACTCGATCCTTTATGGGAAGCACCTGAATGGACTGCATGATGGATGCTGGACCCTGAAATGAGTTGCCAAACATACTTGTACAGCTATTAATACCACAAAAGTTTATGTCTGTGAATGAAAAACAACCAAAATGGAGTAAAAGTGCTTTGAAATGCAGCATCATCGATAAATGTTCATGACTCTCAACACAGAGAGAGAACATTACAGCAGCTCATCCAAGAAACATCCGAGTTCCTCAGCTCTGAACTGGAGGTCTGCATGCCTCTGTCAGGGTACAGGAAATAAATGACTTGTACTGTTGTTGTTACACAGAATTACACGTGTGCTCGTGTGTGTGTGCAGGTACACCTTCTTCAAGAACAACACGCTGAAAGTGACAGACGTCCAATTAAACGACAGCACAGAGTATTCCTGTGAGGTCATCACTAAAGTGGACAACGTGATTGCACAGGGCTCCATCACTGTCATAGGTGTGTGTGTGTGTGTGTGTGTGTGTGTGTGTGTGTGTGTGTGTGTGTGTGTGTGG